AAAATTACTCATATTTTGGCTATATCCAGGGATATTCATTGCGACATTCTATGTAATAGCAAATATCCAGCAATAGGAAACTGGATAAATAATTTCTCTATACAGTAGAATATTATGCAGTGAGAAGAAATGAGTGGGGGGGGGGTCTGTGTGGTATGGAAGCAACTCCAAGATATACTATGAAACCTAAAAAGCAAACTTCAAAAGGAAAAGGTAGGGGTGTATGTGTGTGTGAAAAATAATCACACATATAAGTTTGCCTGTGCATGAAACATTTTTGTAAAGATTCCTAAGAAGGTGTGAACAGTTATTTCCTCTGGAGCAGGAAAAACAAACATATTATTTTTCACAATATGCCCTATCCTGTATGGACTTTTTTTATCATGTGTGTTTTAAAATTTTCAGTTAAACTAGAATTAAAAATGAACGAGACAATATAAAGTGGGCATTTTCCCCACGTTGCTATATAATATAGCATTTAGCGCTGATCACTGCCAGGTCCTGTTTAGATACTTGCCCAGAGCTCTCTAATGTCAGAACAATTATCATCCCACTTCTCTCTCTCTTATGTCAGAACGATTATCATCCCACTTCACAGAGAAGAAACTGAGGCAACTTGCCCAAGGTCACACAGATATTAAGTGGTAGAGCAGGGATTTGAATCCATGTAATCTGGCTCAGAAATCCATGTTCTGAACCTCTGTGGCCCTGTAGCCTCTCTCATCCTTGTTAAGAGCTGCAAAGTGTATTCCACAAAGTGATTGTGTCATACTTTTTTACACCCTTTCCTCCTCTGGTAGGAATTCTGTTTGTTTCTAGGGTTTTGCTGTCACCCTACCACACCACAGAAACAGCCTCCAGACTAACCCTTCATGCTCCTGCATCCAGGAGAAGTCCTGGGAGTGAAATTATGGCATCATCTAAAGCCTGATACTTATTACCAAATTACTTGGCTTTTTTTTTTTCTTTAACCAATTTGTCTCCCTGTGTCTTTGTATGAGAGTGAGAAAGCAGCCCCAAGACCGGCAGCTGGAAAGGGGGAATTTCAGTTGTCCTAGTAAACAGTATGAGACAGTGGCCCGTGCACCTTGTGAGGTCAGGGACTGTCTTGCTCAACTTTGTTCAACAAAGATTTACTGTGTCCTTACAGAGTGCTTCTGGACAAAGGTGAACACGGTCGACATGGTCCCTGCCCTCCTGCAGCTGATAGTCTGTGGGGAGAGGCATTAATGAAGTAAACACACAAAATGAAAATATAGTACCAAGCTTCAGTAAGTGCCTCAAGGAGAAAAACTGGGGTGTTATGGGAAGGAATAATAGAGTCCTTCTTTAGAGAAGGCGGTTGGAGAGGACTTTCCTGAGAAGCAACATTACAGTGAAGACAGAAGGAAGAGTAGAAATGAACAGGAGGGAACAAGGTTGTCTCTTGGTGCCTTAAAAGGTTGGGGTGGATAGCGGAGCCAGGGCTCTAGAGACTTTGGAACCACTGAAGGGTTTTAAGCAAGGTGTTGATCTGGTTTTGGCAGTCTCCCCTGGCTGTTATGTAGGAGCTGGATTAGAACAGCATCAAGAATCCAAGTGGGGAAACCAGTTAGGAGGTTTCTGCAAACAGGAGAGAGATAACAGTGGTTAGTCTAAGGTGATGGAGGAGGAAGCTATAGATTAAGAGTTTTAGAAGACGTATCGATTAACTACAATATGGAGAACTTATTTGGGTCTTTATTTTTTAAAAAACAGTAAAAAAAAAAAAAAAAAGGAAATATCACAGTTACAATGGGAAATTTTAACAGAGGTAGCTGATATTGAGAAATTATTTGTTTAAATGTTAGATGTTTCGTTAGGTTTCCACTACCCTACTTCAGGATTAAAGTGCTGGAAATTATTTAAAAGATAATTTAGAAATATAAATGGAAATATTAATGAATGCTGTGATATATAGAGCATTCTGTAAAGTTTAAAGTAATAAACAGTGTTAAGGGGCCCTGGGACAAACACCAAACCAGAATACTTTTGAGAGTGAAATGTGATGAGAGCTGCAAACAGGGATTTTCCTAGCAGGTTGAGGTTGTTTGCTTTGATACTTTGGTTGCCTTATTAATTTTTCAGAAACTGTCTCCTGACATGTTTATTTTTTTGATTTTCAAAGTAACAAAGACATACTTCTGAAATCACACTTGAGACTAAGTGATGCTCTTGTCATGTCTAGGAATCACTTAGCTTTCCTCTCTCCCCTTTTCTCCATCCTGAGTTGGATGGCCCTCTCTATGGCTCTGAGACATTGGTTTTCAGTGCTGGGGGTGGGGGTGGGGTGAGACAAAGCTAGGGTTTTGCTCCTCTCCACCCCCACCATCCAAGACACATTGGGCAGTGTCTGGAGACAGTCCTGGTTGGAAGATCTGAAGTAGTGCTGCTGGAATCTAGTGAGTAGAAGCCAGAGATACTGCTCAGTATCCTACCATACACAGGACAGTCTCTCCACTCCCCCAAGAAAGAACTGTCAGCCCCCAAAAGTCAATGATGCCAAAGCTGAGAAACCATGCTGTATTGTTCCACTGTCACAGCAGTTCACAAAGACAAGTGATACCGTCAGCTGGTTGACCTTCCCACCTAGACTGTCAACTCCAAGGAGACAGGTGATACCTGTATCTTGTTGAGTGTTTGAATATAGTTGACACTTAAGGACTGAGGAAGGTGGGAAGGTACATCCAGATTCAAACTTAGGGCCCTGGGAGATCATGCTGCTCATCATCAGCCAGTTGACAAGCATTTCATTCATTTGACATTTAACAAATATTTATTAAGCACTTACCTCACACCTAGTATCAGTGTTTGAGGTACTGAGAATACATCAATGAGCAAGACAGAGTTCCTGCTCAATGAAATGTATTCTTATAAGGTAGACAAACAATAAAGCAAAGAAACAAGATGATTTCAGACAGGGATAAATATCATGAAGACAATAAAAATGTAATGTAATAGTGAATGGCGGGGCAAGGACAGCATATTCTGGGTAGGATGAGCAGCTGACATCCTATTGAACTGATGATGAGAATGAGCCAGTCGTGGAAAGCTTTAGGCTACGGAGAAGAGTGATCCAGGCAAAGACCCTGAGACCAAAATAAAGTGGCCTGTTCAAGACCAAGGTGAGAGGACCCGATCACTCGTGCCATGGAAATGTTTGAATTTTATTCTAACTGAAATTGGAAGCCTAACTTATGTGGTTAAAAGATAACTCTAGGAATTCCCTGAAAATCCAGTGGTTAGCACTCTGCCCTGTCACTGTGTGAGTGCAGGTTCAATTCCTGGTGGGAGAACTAAGATCCTGGAAAGCCTCATTGCACAGCGCTGTCAAAAAGAAAAAAAAAAAAATCATTCTGGCATCTTTGGAAGAAGGTATGAAACATGTATGAAATGAAGTGAAAGTCACTTAGTCGTGTCCGACTCTTTGTGATCCCATGGACTATACAGTCCATGGAATTCTCCAGGCCAGAATATTGGAGTGGGTAGCCTTTCCCTTCTCCGGTGAAACATGTATCAGTTCAGGCGCTCAGTCATGTCCAACTCTTTGCGACCTCCCATGGACTGTAGCACACCAGGCTTCCCTGTCCATCACCAACTCCGGGAGCTTACTCAGACTCATGTACATTGAGTCGGTGATGCCATCCAACCATCTCATCCTTTGCCACCCCCTTCTCCTCCTGCTTTCAATCTTTCCCAGCATCAGGGTCTTTTCCAAGGAGTCAGTCCTTCACATCAGGTGACCAAAGTATTGGAGTTTCAGCTTCAGCATCAGTCCTTCCAATGAATATTCAGGACTGATTTCCCTCAAGATTGACTGGTTGGATCTCCTTCTTGGACTCTCAAGAGTCTTCTCCAACACCACAGTTCAAAAGCATCAATTCTTCGGTGCTCAGCTTTCTTTATAGTCCAACTCTCACACCCATATATGACTACTGGAAAAACCATAGCTTTGACTAGACGAACACTGTTGGCAAAGTAATGTCTCTGGTTTTTAATATGCTGTCTAAGTTGGTCATAACTTTTCTTCCAAAGAGCAACCAACCGTCTTTTAATTTCATGGCTGCAGTCACCATCTGCAGTGATATTGGAGCCCAAAAAAATCAAGTCTGTCACTGTTTCCATTGTTTCCCCATCTATTTGCCATGAAGTGATGGGACCAGATGCCGTGATCTTAGTTTTCTGAACGTTGAGTTTTAAGCCAGCTTTTTCACTCTCGTCTTTCACTTTCATCAAGAGGCTCTTTAGCTCCTCTTTGCTTTCTGCCATAAGGGTGGTGTCATCTGCATATCTGAGGTCATTGATATTTCTCCAGCAATACTCATTCCAGCTTGTGCTTCATCCAGCCCGGCATTTCGCATGATGTATCCTGCATATAAATTAAATAAACAGGGTGACATTATACAGCCTTGACGTACTCCTTTCCCGATTTGGAACCAGTCTGTTGTCCCAAGTCCAGTTCTAACTGTTGCTTCTTGACCTGCATACAGATTTCTCAGGAGGCAGGTCAGGTGGTCCCATCTCTTTCAGAATTTTCCAGTTTGTTGTGATTCACACAGTCTAAGGCTTTGGCGTAATCAATAGAGCAGAGTAAATGTTTTTCTGGAACTCTCTTCCTTTGCCGATGATCCAACGGATGTTGACAATTTGATCTCTGGTTCCTGTATAATTCGAGTTAAAAATACTCCGGTCACATTCTCCGCTGCTTCTTGCCTAAGGGGAAACTTAACATCCAGGAGAGGGCGCCCTAGGCGCCGGGTCGACAGACAGCGCTCTGGTTCTTTTAGAGAAGTCAGTAGCTTCCGGGAGCGGCGGCGTCGCCCTGCGCCTTCCTCTCTATCCGCCCGTCTCTGTGGTAGCCGGGTCCGGCCCCCGCCCCGGCGCGGGGCCCCGCCCCTCTTCGGCAGGCCGCGAGCTCTTCGGACTCTGCCCGGAGCCAACCCGGGGGCTGCCCGGCTCCCACGTCGGTCAGATCCCTGTTCATGGCGATCCGGGGACCCGCGCCCCGGCCTGGCGGCAGGTTAGCAGGGCGGCTGGGGAGGACGGCCGGGCCTTGGGACGTCTTACTCGGGGCTGTTTGGGGAAAAGGTACAGCACCTTCCAACTTCATAACATGCTGTGATTTTTAAAAAACTTTTTATTCAACATTGTGTTTTTGAGATCATGCATGCTATAGTAATCTAGTTTTCACTTCTGAGTGCTGGGTGGTGCTACCTAAGGTCATTAGACCGCAGTTGACTTATACATTCTCCTAGCGATGGACACTTAGTGCTTAGATTTTTCTTTGGATTGTTCACCCCAGGGTAGGATGCTCGGTCACGCTTAATTCTGCTGAATTGTTCTCCGGAGTGATCACACCCGGCTTCCCAACACCACTTTGTTCTCCGGAGTGATCACACCCGGTTTCCCAAAACCACTGCCTAAAGGTTCCAGTTCCCTCTCAACCACCGACCCCCACCCACCCAGTGTTTGGTATTGTTTGGGTTTTCTAATGTGTATCAACTTAATCAGTGTAAGGTGGTATTCCATTGTGTTAACTTTCCTCTTTTAAGTATTTGACTTTCCCTTTATTTACGTCCTTTTCCCACTTTTCTGTGGATTTACTGTCTTCCTGATGCAGGAATTTCTTGTGTGCGTAGATTTTATTACCTTTCCCTTCTCTGAAATGTCTGAATCTCTGGCACTATGTTGAACAAAAGTACTTAATTCTGAGTTAAAGTTGTGAGTTTTCCTGCCTTTTAGTTTTTGGTTTGGGGGTCTTATTTGAGAATAGATGTAGTGGGTTTCCTTGTCTGTGACCAAAAAGAGGGTGTGGCTAAAATTTCTTTATTAATTTAGCCATAGGTTTTTGGTAAATAACCTTTCATAGCATTTGTCAACTTAAAGAAATTCCTTTTTAATCCCCTGGTCTGTTCCCAGCCTACTGTCTTCAGCATTTGTAAAACATTCTTTCTACATGGCCTCAGCCCCAACCCACAACAGGTGTAGATAAGTTTAGTCACTGCTCTCTAAGGCTCAGTTGTCCTCTTAGGCTTCTCTCTTCTTCTCTTCTTCAGACCCAGGTTAGGTCTGCAATTTCTCCAGCGGTTCCTGCAGATACAGAAAGTTTTATTTCCCTCTTGGTCATCACAGAATGCCTTGATGTTCCTGACCCTTTTGTGTGTGGCCCTACTGGGTGAGTGAATGAGCCCAGGCTCGTGGGGTCCTTTTCCTTCTGCGGGGTGTTGATGACACGTGGATACAAGAAGAAGCCTTCCTCTGACTTTTCTCACCCCTCCTTACTAATTCCTGCCTCCTCCCCCTCCCGCCAGAACAACTGGTGATCTACCGGGTTGGCTTGATCCCCAGTCAGTACTTTGGAGTTCTAGGAAACAAAGACTTAAATGGATTTAAGACCCTGACGTTCCTGTCTGTCGTGCTGATCGTCCTCAACTCCATGGTAAGGTCTTCTCCCCACATCTCTCCTCCCCTCAAGCCTAGTGTGATGTCTGGCCAGTGCCCGGTGGGACTTAGTCATCAGGAAGCAGGAACCAAGCGGTGCGCGTGTGTTCCCTCCCTCTTCTGGGAACTCGGGGTCAAAACTCTAGGCAGGGCATTGATGTTGCCTGTTTGCCCACATGAGACCAATTCCACAATTGTTTCAAGCTCTTGGGGCTCGGCCACAGGGTTCTGGTTTAATTCAGCATTTAACAGAAAAGATCATTGTCGCTTCTGTTCCCAGAACTCTTGCTTCAGGGAGCTCAGAGCCCCTGAAAACCGGGCTCAGCAGCCAGAGCCGCTGCTGTCCTCTGACGCGCTGAGGCTGTGACTGGGCATCTCCCAGCCTTTGCACCTGCTGCTTCCTCACGGAATGGCCTCCTCCCCCAACCCCTCATTTACTTGCTTCATGCCTGCTGACTTTTCACGATTCCTCTGTCACCTCCTTCAGATCATCCTCAACCATTCTTTCATGTTTCCTCCACCAACTCCACCCCTTTGAATTGCTAATCTTTTTTTTTTTTTGGATGTACCTTGAGGCATGTGAGATCTTAGTTCCCTCACCAGGGATCAAACCTGGGGCCCTGTGCATTGGGAGCTTGGAGTCTTAGCCATTGGACCACCAGGGAAGCCCCGCTAATCCTTTTGCGTTTACCTCTGCCCTAACACTCCTTACAGCCTGGGGACTGTCTGTGTTTTCACTAGACTGTGACCTCACCATTACCTCCCTTGTGCTTAGCATACAGAGGCCCCATAAATGGTCAGAGTCAGGGCTCTGCTAGGACTCACGCCTAATGCTGTCAGGCCGCATCACCGGTTTTCTTGGGGAAGCCACTTCTCATCACACTTTTTCACTTCTGTTGGGTCTTCTGTCAGTAAGCACCTATGTGTATAGAACCCTGTTCCAGGTTTGGGGGGACAGAAAAATAGGAACAAATGGAAGAGAAGATACTGTCTCCAATCTCCAGAAGCACATGGGGGCTGGAGGGCCTTGCCTTTGGTGAAGGAATGAACACATGCGTGAAAGAGGAAGGGAGCAATCCCATGACTTGAGGCTTTAACAGGCCCCAGTGCTGAGTGGACACCCGTTGGGCTGGGACTGGTCGGCAGAGGCTTTCCGCCAGCCTGAGCTGGGAGCTGACGCTTGCAGGAAGAATGATGTGTCTCTCCCTTCCCCCTGCCTCCCCCACTGCTCAGCTCAAGAGCTTCGACCAGTTCACCTGCAACCTGCTATATGTGAGCTGGAGGAAGGACCTCACCGAGCACCTCCACCGCTTCTACTTCCGGGGCCGAGTGTACTACACCCTCAACGTGCTGCGGGATGACGTCGATAACCCGTAGGCGCCCCCTGTCAGTCCTCCCCACCCTCTACGGGGTTCATCCATCTGGGATGACTCAGCCCAGGAGAGGCCCTGCTGGGACCCCATGAGGTCATCTGCAGTTATCTGCAAATGTTGTTGCCTGGAGCCACGCCATGGCGGGGAGGGTGCTCTGCATGCCTGAGGACAGGGAGCTGAAAGAAGAGGCCAAGAGCAGCTCTCTTTTGTCCATTTCATATCCTGGGCCTCCAAACAAGGCACCCCCAAGACAGAGATAAAAGTCCTTGCTAGAAAAAAGCAAGAAAACCGGCGCTCTGATTTTCAGCAGTAAAAAATTGCTGCTGTCTAGGACTCAGTCTGGGATTCCAGTCCCCATTCTATCACCTCTCTTAGGTTCACTGAGTCCCAGGTTCCCTTACAGGTGAGGAAACTGAGGCCCAGAGAATGCAAGGGATTTGCCCAAGCTCATGCCTCTCTGGGAGTTAGGAGTCATTGTGGCCTTGGTGTTGGGATGGGACGTATGGAGTCTCTCTTCACACTCATTTCCTCCCCACTCACCACCCTTCCAAGCTCTTCGTTGTCTGAGGTAACCTCTCTTCAGCTTATTCGGAGTTGTGCAGCAAAGGCTCTTGGGAGGTCCTGATGCTTCTTTTTTTTTTTTTTAATGTATTTATTTGGCTCCATCTGGTCTTAGTTGAGGCATGCAAGCTTAGTCACCCTGTGGTATGTGGGATTTCAGTTCCCTGACTGGGGATTGAACCCATGTCCCCTTGCATTGGAAGGTGGATTCTCAACCACTGGACCACCAGAGACGTCCTGCCCTGATGCCTCTTGACTTTCTCTTCTAGGCGTCTTCTCTGTGGCTGAACCCATACAGAGCTTCCACAGCCACATAGCTAAAATGGGGGGCGGGCTCCAGCTCGTGAGGGAGAGGTTGGGAGGAGTGAGATAAGCCAGAGAGCTTTCCTAATCATCCAGAAACTCGGGTCACCCACCCTCATGTCCTTCTTTGGTTCTGCTCGGAGCCAGCTCAGACCCCTTGGGTGCTGGACCTTTCAGTTGCCATTTTTTTTCTGAGGGGTGGACAGAAGTGCCATAAGAAGCCACTCTCCACAACCCTGTTTGAAGATCCTAAGGGTCTCATTGCCTTTAGGAGACCAGCCCTTGTCTGGGTCCCTCTTCCCATGGGGTCGTTGCAAGGCAGGTTCAGAATCAGAGGTAACCTGGAACTACCTTAGCTCTCACCCCAAAGCCAGCTTCCTGGGTCCAGTCACTGTGTGTCGTTGGCTCCAGGGACCAGCGCATCAGCCAGGATGTGGAGCGGTTCTGTCGGCAACTCAGCAGCATGGCCAGCAAGCTGATCATCTCCCCCTTCACCCTCGTCTACTACACCTACCAGTGCTTCCGGAGGTGAAGCCTCTCCTCTTGCTGGCGTGCCTCCCATCCTTCCCTGCCCGCTGGTTCCCCCGAGTCCCTCACTCACATGCCAAAGGGGAGTCCGCTCTCCTGGGTCAGGGTCCAGAGAGGTCTTCCTTCCCTCCCACCTGCACCCCAGGAAGTCTTCCCATCTTGCCTGTTCAGGCCCTGGCCCTCCCTTTGGCCCTGTAGTGTGTCTCTGTCAAGGTACCGGGTGCCCCCACGTAGGAGCAGAGGCCCCACAGGGGCTGCCCAGAACGGGAGCAGGAGTCAGGGCCGAGGCCTGCGGGCATATGTCCCTCTCCACACCCTCCCTCGCTCCGCATTTCAGCACCGGCTGGCTCGGGCCTGTGAGCATCTTCGGGTATTTCATCCTGGGAACTGTGGTGAACAGAGTGTTGATGGGTCCCATTGTGGCAAAGCTGGTGCAGCAGGAGAAGCTGGAGGGGGATTTCAGGTGGGTCTCCCTTGCTCGGGGGCTTTTGGGTCAGGCATAACATGTAAGGAATGGGGTCTGGAAAAAGTCTGCCTGAGTTTAAATCCCAGTTATGCCAGTCACTAGCCATGTGCTCTTGGGGGGTGGGGTCTTTAACCTCTCTAAACTTCCATCTTCCTATCTCTAAAATGGAGATGGTACTGTCCCCGATGGAGAGAATCGTAAGGGGAATTAATGAGATGATACATGAGCAGCAGTGAGAATGGTGACTGGTTGGCGCTCGGCACCATCATCCCTTGGCCTTCTCACATGCTTCTGTTCCAGACACCCTCATTCAAGTCAGCCCGTGGATCTGGGCCCAGCTCTATGCTTCCTGGCCTCCTCCTTCAGACCCGGCCCTGGGAGGAGGAGGGGTGGTTGCAGGCATGCACCTGTCCTCTCTGGAGCGAGGCGAGGGGCTGCCCTGTCCTCAGGGCTCCTGCCACCCCACCCAGGCCTGGGATTTCCCACCCTATGACAGTCCGGGGAAGGGTTGGGCTGAGGCAGCCACAGTGTTGAAGGGGAGCCATGTTCCTCTTTGCCTGGAGGTCCTGTTGATCCAGGACTCTGAAAGGAGAGGGCCCCATCCTGCCCACCATCAGCACACATTTACCTCTGGTCTGCCCAGGTTCAAGCACATGCAGATACGGGTGAATGCTGAGCCTGCTGCTTTTTTCAGGTGAGTCTCTTGGAGATAATTGCCCATCTGCCTCATCAGAACTGATCGGGGAGATAGATGGCAGAGAGGGCCAGGTGAATCATACAACCCTCCCACCATCGCCAAGGCCAGGGGCCAGGCATCCTCACACTTGGCCATGACCCTCTCCCCATGTCCCTCACTGTCCTTGTCTGCCCCATCCTTCTGTTCGTGAGTTTGCTTCTGAAATGAGTCGTTCCTCCTAGTGGTGTAGCATGGGGCAGAATTTATTCTAAGAGTGAAATGAGTGTCTGCTTCATCATCTTGCTGATGACTATAAGGCATTGCCTCTGCTTTTCTGTCTGTAAAAAAATGGCTTTCCAAAAGCCATTTGGAAATGTCACAGTGCCCGAAGCCCAGTGACGTCCACAGCTAATCCTGCATCTCTGTAGCATGGGAGGCAGTAGAGCCTCTCAGATCAGAAGACCCGCTCCCCACAGACTCTGTCCTGATAACCGTGTTGTGAAATCCCATTCCTTCCCCTGCGGCCACGGCAGGTCCCTGAACTCTGCCTCCTGTAAGGACTCTGGACTCTATTTGGGTTGATAGTAAGGGCCCAGAGGTTTGTGTTTAAGGAATGGAAGTTTGTCCTCGGGTCACCTGGTTCTAATAGCCCCGGGACTTTGCTCTTCTGTCTATCTCTGCTGCAGTTTGTAGCTGCCACCACTTGAGGGGCACCAAGAGTTCCAGGAATCTATGAGAGAGGTTGAGGGGCTTCCCAGATGATGCTAGTGGTAAAGAGCCCACCTGTCAATGCAGGAGATGCAAGAGATGTGGGTCCGATCCCTGGGTTGGGAAGATCCCCTGGAGGAGGGCATCGCAACCCACTCCAGTACTCTTGCCTGGAGAATCCCACGGACAGAGGAGCCTGGCAGGCTATAGTCCATAGAGCCACAGAGTCGGACATGACTGAAGCGACTTAGCATGCACTCAGCATGCCTGAGAGAGGTTTGTTATGGGGAGCAGGTACAGCTGGGCCTGTGCTAAATTGTTTTTGGATGGATTTTGCAACCTCTGCTCATGAAGCTTTGGGCTCTGGGCCAAGCAGGTTGGTTCTTGGGGCTCTGAGTTTGTTCTCCTGCAGCCTCTCTGTCCTTGATGCTAAATCTGAAACTCCTCTGCCCTCCCCTAACCTTTCTGCCTGGAGAATTTCTGCTCATCCTTGAAGCTTAAAGTCACCATTTCCTGGGCGCCTTCCCAGACTCCCTTAGTGATCAGGCCTGTTTGCTTCCATAGTCCTGCAGACACACGGCTTATGTAACACTTTCCATATGTTCCAGGTGACGAACGCATGCATTTGCCTGCCGTCCTGCACTGGGAGCTCCTCCAGTACAGGGACCGTTTTATCCACCTCTGTCTGGCTGACTAGTACCAAGCCCGCCACCTAGTGACTGCTCGGTGTATATTTGTTTAATAACAGCAGTTTTTTTATCAGGAGCCACTCATATGCCTGGCACTTTATAAAATTCAGAAATTTTCACGTTAGCCTATTACATAGATATCATAAGCTCCATCTCATAGATGAATAAACTGAGACTCAGAGGCTTAATAACCTGTCAGTGTTACCCAGCTAGTCACTGGCCAGAGCCAGAATTTGAGCCAGGTCTGCCCACTCTATATAGAGTTGCTATTCTTTCTGCCGGCAATACCAGGTTGAATGAATGCAGCAATGGCTGACTGCTAGTGGCCAAGAGGGTCTGCAGGAAAGATCACTTGGGTGGGCCTGGTCCCAAAAGGGGAGTGTGAGGAGCCTGGCAGAGGCTCTCCAGACCCCGTGGACATCCCAGCCTTTCTCATCAGGGCTGGGCACGTGGAGCACATGAGGACAGACCGCAGGCTGCAGCGACTCCTTCAGACCCAGAGGGAGCTGATGTCCAAGGAACTCTGGCTGTACAGTAGGTGCTGGGAGCCCGGGAGGCAGGAACCACAGGGCGGGATAGTCCACGGCCACCCCCCACAAGCCCCTCCTCCCTCTCTGCACTGATCAGTTTGCCTTTGCTGTGAGTGTCCTCAGGAGAGTGAGGATTCGGGAAATCGCTTGATGCTGCTTGGCCTCTTGTTCCCCTTGGGGTACACACACTTGATGCCCAGGCCTCTCACCCTGGGTCTCTTGCGTCTTCCGCAGTCGGCATCAACATGTTTGACTATCTGGGCAGCATCCTGAGCTACGTCGTGATCGCGATCCCCATTTTCAGTGGCATCTATGGAGATCTGAGCCCCACAGAGCTCAGCAGCCTGGTCAGCAAGGTGAGCCTCCCTCCTGGGGACCCCGCCCCCAGTCCCGCTTGCTTCCCTGCCGTTTGGCCTCAGAGTCAAGGCCTGGGCTCTCTGCCCTCTGTCCTGCCCAGAATGCCTTCGTGTGCATGTATCTCATCAGCTGCTTCAGCCAGCTCATCGACCTCTCCACCACACTCTCCGACGTGGCGGGCTACACACACAGGTGAGGCTGCCTCTGGCCCCACCGGGTCCTGACGTAGTGAGCAAAGTGTGTGCCGCTGGGAGAAGTAGCCGAGGGGAAAAAAAAGGAGCAGAAAAAACTCACCAAATACTCATGGGTGTGAGAGGAAGAAAGGAGGAAGGCCTTCACCAGGGCCCCAAGACCCTGCTCAGGCTTTCACTTCTTGCCCAGGATCGGGGAGCTTCAGGAGACCCTGCTGGACATGACCCCAAAGTCACAGGATGGGGAGATTCTGGATGAGAGCCAGTGGGACTTGGCCAGGTAAGCCTTGGGCCAGCAGCGTGCTGGTGGACCATGCGGGCCACAGAACCGCCCCGGAGCCCGGCCCTTTCCCGGCTGGGCAGGAGAGTCTGGCAGAGCAAATGAAAGAAACCCCTGTTGTGTGCAGGCATGTTGTAAATGTTCACCATCCGTGTCACTCTTGCATCATCTGTGTTCATTTACACCATGCCCCCACCCGATGGAAGCAAAATGCACACAGCTGCTTGGGCCTGAGTTAATGAAACTCCGAATAGCATCCCTCCTCTTCCTTTCTTCCCTCTTCCTCCCACTGATCCCTGCTGCACCTGCCCCTTTCCTTGGGGCCTGTCTGTTCTTTGTCCCTGCTCAGGCCCAGAGGTGTCTTCATTCATGTATCCTTGCAGGCTCTGGGATGTTTCTGACCTTTCTATGTATCAAGGATTTGTCTCATATCCTCACTTTTCTTGAGCAGATTACCTAACTGCTCTCAGTATCTTCATATCCATAAGGAAGATGTTCATGGAACCTTCAACTTAGGGTTGTTGTGGGGATTGGGTCTCCTAGTTCATAGGAGGTGGTTTGGATGGAGGCCTCAGAGTAAGCTTTGAAAAATGGAAACAGGCTGAATTTCAAGGACTACTCAACTCTCTTCTTCGGAGCTAACACCTTAACTGTTGCCTCTGTTAAGAATGAAAACTTCATGCATCTCTGAAACCCCGGGACTGGGGTGGGCTACTGGGGCAGGGACTGTAGGAAACTGGAGTTGCTCTTCTGTGGGGAAGATGGGCATCCATGGAGAGCCAGAAGCTCCAGAACGAGTTAGTATTTCCATTCCCCTTCTGACCTTCAATCGCACTGTGATGCTGTGAAAACCTCTTGACATTAGAACTGGACAGATGCAGCTCTGTGCCCCTGCGCCAGTTACTTAGCCACCGGACTCAGTTTCCTCATCTGCCAAGAGGGGATAACCACTGTGGTGCATGGCTGGTAAGACTGATTAATGATTAAGATCAGTCAAGGGCAGGACTTGGCCCGGCCTGCCACGGAGCAGGTGCCAGGGCTACCATAGGACACCCATAGCTACCATAGCTACCCACCATAAACTGGGTAGCTTAAAGAGCTGATGTTTATTTCCTCATGGTTCTGGAGGCTGGAAGTCCAAGGTCAAGGTGGCAGCAGCATTGGTTTCTCCCCAGGCCTTGCTCCTTCACTTGCAGGCGGCTGCTTTCGCACGGCATCCTTCCATGGCGTTTTCTCTGCTTGTGCACCCCTAAGTGTGTCTCTCCCTCTTCTTAAAAGAACAGCAGTCCGGCAGGATTAGGGCCCTACCCTCACGGCCTCACTTGAATGTACTCACTCCTGATAGCTCAGTTGGTAAAGAATCCACCTGCAATGCAGGAGACCCTGATTCAATTCCTGGGTCAGGAAGATCCTCTGGAGAAGCGATAGGCTACCCACTCCAGTATTCTGGCCTGGAGAAGTCCATGGACTGGATAGTCCATGGGGTCACAAAGAGTCGAACATGACTGAGCGACTTTCATCTTCACCCCTTTAAAGACCCTGTCTCCAAATGCAGTCACCTTCTGAGGTACAGGGGTTGGAACTTCAGCATATTTCTGAGGCCACAGTTGAGCCCACGGCAGCCGCCCAGTCCAGAGGTGATTTGCCCCCAAGGAGAAGGGGCTCTGCCCCTCCCAGCAGCACTGACAGTGCTTTTCTTCCCCCCATCTCCTCCCTTCTCGGACCCCAGGGACCCGGGAGGGCCAGCGACAGAGCCAGCAGATACAGCTTTCCTCCTCGAGCGGGTCTGCATCTGCGCCCCCTCCTCTCACAAACCCTTAATCAAGGACCTGAGCCTGAAGATCTCTGAGGGGCAGAGCCTGCTCATCATAGGCAACACGGGCACCGGCAAGACCTCCTTGCTCCGGGTTCTGGGCGGCCTCTGGGCAAGCGCACGGGGTGAGGACCAGCCTGCCCCGTCTCTGAGCCAGCCTTGGCCTGGGGGGTTGGGGTGCATGTGTGTGCGTGTGGGTATGTGTGTGCATCTGTCTGTAAGGATCAAGCCTCTTGGAGGAGAGTGAGGGGCAGTTACCTTTTGGAAGATGCCCAAACAAAGGTTTCTGTGGGTTCTGCAGGCTCAGTGCAGATGCTGGCAGACTTTGGACCCCACGGGGTGCTGTTCCTGCCCCAAAAGCCTTTCTTCACTGACGGGACCCTTCGGGAACAGGTCAGCCCAGGGCCCACTCCTCCCACCCCACCCCCCAACCTGGCCCCTGGTAGGCTGACAGGTCTCAGCCCTAGAGAGCTGGGGCAGCAGGTGGGACATAAATGAACCATGCCCAGCAAGTGAGGGCAAGGACCCTGAGGTCCAAGCCCACCTGGTAGCACCACCACAGGTGCCAGCCCAGCGGGGCCAGCCCTGCTGTCCCTGGCCGGGGACTGGAGGTCTGAGCCTGGGGTGAGGGAGAGGGTTGAGGTGGGCATATAAATCAGCAGTGGGAGCTGTTAGCCAGGTATGGGGAACAAGCAGGGTTCACTCTGTAGCAATTTTTAAAACAATGATAACACTACGTCAGGTTGCTTTTTCTGGTTCCCACGCTCCAGCAGGTCTAAACGGTAGCTGATGGACCGCTCCTGTTTTATATTCACATCTGTGGGTCAGGCCATGTACTCAGGGCAGCTCCGGGAGGCAGGCTAGCCTGTGCGGGCCATAAGCCAAATATCACATGTGTTTGTTGAGCATCAGCTTGGATTTTGGGGGCCCTCCCTGCTGCCTGCCATCCCAGGCCCTCAGCCAGAATGTTTCTTCCTCTCCTCGGGTAGAGAGGAGCCTGGTCTCTGGCGGTTCCTGTTTCTGAGCAAGAGTGGGCTGTGTGCCGTCCCACCTTTCCTTGGCCCTTACCCAGGCCACTGTGGTTTTGTTTTATCAGGTGATATATCCCCTGAAAGAGATCTACCCAGACTCAGGTGAGCTGGGCCCCCTCAGGATACGTCTCCCATCCCACTCTCTCTTCTCTGCCTGTTGGGGGAGGCCCCCAGCCAGGCTGCTGGTTTCTGGTTGGGTCCCCTCCACCGCTTCCTCTGACTGGTTACTTTTTGGGGTCTGTACCCTGACCTCATCTTGTTCTGTCTGCCCCCTGCAGAGGAGAGACAGTCATGGGAGGGAAGGGACGGATCACATCCTTCCCCGGCCCTTCCCTTGTTTATTAAGTGCTATTACCTGTCACTCAGAGCCCTGGCCCCCATTCTAGTGCCTCCACCTCTGCCCGCCCGCCCCTGCCGCCCCCTGTCATGATGTGCCCCATCTATTCTGGCCACCCAGAGGTGCTGACTTCTGTGTCTTGTAGGTTCTACCGATGATGAGAGGATCATGAGGTTCTTGGAGCTGGCAGGCCTGGTAAGTGAGGGCAAGGACCCTGAGGTCCAAGCCCACCTGGTAGCACCGACCACACAGGTGCCAGCCGAGCAGGGCCAGACCTACTGTCCCTGGCCGGGGACTGGGAGGTCTGAGCCTGGGGCAAGGGCAGGGAGGTTGGGGGTGGGCATATAAATGAGCAGTGGGAGCTGTTGGCCAGGTATGGGAAACAAGCAGAGATCACTCTGTAGCAATTTTTAAAACAATGATAACACCATGTTGGGTTGCTTTTGCTGGTCCCCACACTCCATCAAGTCTAAACAGTAGCTGATGGACTTCCCCTCTCTGCCTGGGGCAGACTGCTCCCCCAGCCCCCACTTGCTGCACTGCCCGGGGTAGATGTACGTGGTGGGACTGAGGCGGTCCTCGGGATGGGAAGAGACAGGGATGAGCCCTTCCACGGACCCATCGTTCCCTCCGGTGTGTTACAGTCCAGCTTGGTGGCAAGGACAGAAGGTCTGGACCAGCAGGTCGATTGGAACTGGTAAGGAGGAGGTTGGCCTGCTCCAGAGACAGCTCCCCCAAAGACAGTGGCTCTCAGGGGTCCTGGCAAGGGATGAACTGGCTCCTGACCCCAAATTCCAGGGCATTGCTGGCCCATTAGGGTCCCAGGGGTCCTGGCAAGGGATGAACTGGCTCCTGACCCCAAATCCCAGCGTGTTGCTGGCCCATTAGGGGCCTGGTTCATATCCTTGCGTACAGAGTTTTGGCCTCATCTCATGTGGGCAGTGGGGCTCTGGTGGGAAGTGGGGGCCCTAGGACAGTCTGTCTGCAGTGAGAGCCTCTTCCTGCCTAGGCCATTCTGTGCAGAAGCCAAGCTATATGCTCCTTCCTCCAGCCAGCCTCTCCCCCTCCCTTTCCGCAGGTATGATGTTCTGTCCCCGGGAGAGATGCAGAGGCTCTCCTTTGCCCGGCTCTTCTACCTGCAGCCAAAGTACGCAGGTGAGGTTCGCCCTGTAGGTGCGTGTGCCATCCAGGTACCGTGTGCGCTCACAGGTGTAGCAGCGTGTTGTTCAAGTGCACCTGGAGAGTCCTGGGTATGGGTAGGAGAGCACACCTGTGCCTGGCCAGGTGTCTCTGTCCCTGCTGGGGAACAGCAGGACTCTGCCCATGAGGCAGCAGTGCTTGGCATCCTCAGGTATGTATAAAACCGCTTAGTAGTGTCTGACTCTTTGTGACCCTTTGGACTGTAGCCCACCAGGCTCCTCTGTCCGTGGGATTCTCCAGGCAAGAATACTGGAGTGAGTTGCCATTTCCTCCTCCAGGGAACCTTCCCACTCAGAGATCAGACCCGGGTCTCCAGCATCACAGGCAGATTCTTTATCACGGAGCCATTGGGGAAGCCTCCATATATTAAACTGCCGAGTCTTAAGCTTTCAGCCAGTGTAGCAGCTGGAGGCAGCCTTGAGAGGGCTTCTGATTTTGGTCCTCAGACTCTGCCATCTCCCCAGCTGTACCTGGCAGAGGGATGGCAGGTATGAACTTTTCTAGGAACTGACGTCCTTGAGGGAACTAGGATTCCACAGATTGAGTGGTCCAAGGCAGTGGCTGATATTCATCCATAGGAAGCTGAAGGATTCTGTCCCCCTGCTGGAAGTGGCTTCCCAAATGAAGCCTCACCCTCTGTTCCTTTGCCCGTGGTCTCCCCAAGGAAGGGCTCCTGGAAGGCAGAGCAGTTTTCAGCCTCTCGTCAGGTCCCAGCCAGAGGTGGGCGTGGGTTGGAGGAGCAGCAGAGGTCGATGGACCGCAGGCCCCCACGTCTTCCTGCTGGGTTCTGTCCCCAGTGCTTGATGAAGCCACCAGTGCCCTGACCGAGGAGGTGGAGAGCGAGCTGTACCACATCGGCCAGCAGCTGGGCATGACGTTCATCAGCGTGGGCCATCGGCGCAGCCTCGAGAAGGTACCTGTGCCCACAGGATGGCCCGAGGACCAGGAGGAACCCCAAGGCTGGGCCTGGCGGGCGGCCCGCGGAATGGGGAGTGGGGATGGCAGAGTGGGCAGGGGGTCGATCACAGCCAGGGCAGCCTGATCACTTCGTGGTGGTGGGGGTCTCTTGTAGTTTCACTCCTTGGTTCTGAGACTCTGTGGAGACGGAAGGTGGGAGCTGACCAGAATCAAAGTGGAATGAAACCAAGGCTGGGCACTGGAAGGAGAGCCAGGCTCAGGAGGTCGGGTCCCCAGGAGAGACCAGGAGGGCTGGCGGGCGAGGAAGGAGCCCCAGGTTTGCCTCGCAATGTGGGGAACGCTGGCGGCAGTGGGCTCAGCCCACATGTGAGCCTCCACACCACTCATCCTGCCAGCATGCCTCCTGCTACCTCAGACACCGCTTTGTACACTTGAAATGCTGATCACTTACGTATAACCTCAGATCATGTTTTCTAAAGAAAACGTGGAAGTGTGGGATCTATAAGAGATGAAGGGTCAAAATGGAAGAGTGTATTGGACTTGGGAGTCAAGCGATCCGGAAGTCTTTCAGATCACATCAGTTTTTCCATAGGAGATTTTAAACTTTAATCAGCTATATAAATTTTATAACTTTTTTTAAAGAAAAGATAAACTTTTTTTTCAACTTGTGGCTTTCCTATTTTCTCTTTCTTCATCATAAGATGATCTTTATTTTTTTTATTTGTGACCACACAGTACGTATGTGGGATGTGGGATCCATGTGGGATAGAGGATCTTAGTTCTCCATCCAGGGATCAAGTCCATGTCCCCTGTAGTGGATGTGCTGTGTCTTACCACTGGACCACTGCACCACCAAGAGGTCCCTGAGATGATCTCTTTAGTTGACTCTCCAGACTTGTCTTTGAGACCCTGGTAGTGTTCTGAAATAACAGCCCAATGCTGTGCCTACACAGGAGACTTGCTGTCTGTACATGGGGAGGTTAAGGGATGTTACCGTGGAGTCAGACACCCTAGCCCCCAGCTGAGACCTCCGCTTAATAGATGTGGGGAAAGGGAATGAGAACCGCAAGGCTACAAGGGGTGACTTGCTCTGTATAAGACAGGGTTAGTTCATGCCTGTTGATACCAAACTGGAAAGGATCCCAGACGTGGGGTGGAGTTCCAGACGTGGGGAGATGCTGCCCCGGGTGACAAGTCACCCCCCCGCCCCCGCCCCATGGCTTAGCTGGCACAGAGGCCTGGAGCCTGTTCTCAGCTCTGCCCCTCGAGGGCACTAAAGCGGTGTGTCCAGGTGCTGAGGGGCTGAGAGAACTCTGAGGTGGGCACCTGCAGTGCCCAGTCCCCAGTGAAGCCTCCATAGGAACTTACAGGATGTCAGTGCTGAGAAGGCCCATGGCAGCCCTTCTCTCGGGGCTGAAAGGGACCGTCAAGGTCAGCGTCTGCTTCAGGAACCTTCCCAGACTTGCCTCTCCCAACCATATCCTGCCAAGCGCTCTCCTGGCCTCTGTTCAGACGCTGCTAGCCTTGGGGGACGTCCGTCCTCAGACCCCTCCAGCTGAGCAGAGTTCGCCCCAGGCCAAGGGGAAGCCTGTCTCCCTCAGGAGCGCCCTGACTCCCAGCCCTTGGGCATGTTTTAAATTGTGGGGTTTGGGTGTGGGAGGACTCCCTCTCTGGTTTAGTTTCTGGACCTTCCTCAATATAGCAGAAGCTCCCCTCGGCCTTTCTGTGACAGCCTTGCCTCACTGATTTATTTTGTCCTCATAAGCTCCAACTCCTAAGCCTTTTTCACAAGTGCTGCTGCTAGCAGATTATTATAGAGACCAAGTTTGTTCCTCTGCCTCGAACGTGTTTCCAGTGCTATTTCTGTTCTTAATACTCAAGTACCCAGTGTTCTCCCTTGCAGAAACTGCCAAGAGAAAGCTGTTCTTAGGGCCAAACTGTGCGCTTTTCCATCACCCATCTCAGAGATGGTGGCTACTGAGAGTTGTAGATGAATTGATACAAACCTGCATGAGGAAAAGTCAGGTATTGTGTCCTTATGAAGAGGACCAAAGTGTTTATTTTAAATGTTTTAAAATAAGCCAGACAGATGATTTCCCAAACTTAGGTCTCATTCTGCTGACCAGAGGTCCACACAGACCCACATGGATAATCCATAGAAATGTTATCCTTATATACATCATTCTTCTGAAGAGTGCTGGAGCCATGGGACAGGGCAGAAAAGCAATCTTTTGTCATCTCCATCAAGTATCTGCTTACTACCACATCAACTTGTGTACCACCCCAATCATTTTGGGATGAAGGATGACAGACTAATCTCTGTTCTGCCACAGCCCACAGGGAACTGTGGTCTGTGTTCTGGGGACAATCTCCCAGGAAGCCAAAGAAGAGCAATGCCGGGTGCCCTCTGTAAAAACTGCCTTTCCAGAAACATTGTCTTGTTCCTGACATCCTGTCTAGGTGTCAGAATGTTGGGTGGGCCTGGGCTAACGCCTAGGTCAGGAAGGAACCCCTGGAGGCACAAGGAGTTGTCAGGAGAACCCGTGCCTGGAGAATAAGCTAGCTGAAAGGGAGCCCAGGACTGGGGCTGTCGAGACTGCCCTCCCAAGGAGGTAGGGAAGTGTGGACAGGGCTCAGGCAGGGGACGTGTGCTGGGGAACACTGTCCTTAAACGGGGCAGGGTGAGGCTGGGTAAATGGCCAGAGAATTTGCCCATCTGTAGGTAGTTAAGGGTTTTGAAGGTCAGATGCCTCTGGGGACAATTTCCATGGGAAAGTCTGAAGACAGGGCAGAGACTTTTACCTAGTGACAGCTCAGAGCAGGCCCGAGGCCCAGAACTGCCAGACCGCAAGGGATTAAAGGAGGAAATAGACAAGACTCAGTACTGAACTGGCGAAGGGATCCGTGCAGAGCTTGCGTGCTTAAGGGAAGCCCAGCTCCCACCACGTTTACATAAGAACCCTGTGAGGAAGATGCTTCCTTTTCTTTCCTTTTTACTCTTGAGGGGTCAGCGCTCCAGAGCCTGAAATGACTTAAGAATCTCCAGTTCAAAGCAGAATTCCTGAGCCTCTGCCCTGCCCCCACCAACTGCATTCATCTTGCCCATCTCAGGGGGTGGTGCTTCCACTGTCCACCCCGAGCTCAGGCTAGAGACCTGAGACCCTCCAGACCTTCTGCATTTCCAATCCATCACTATGTCCCGTGGGTTCTGCTTCCAGAATACATCTGACGTCTGCTCCAGCCCTTAGCATCTCCACTGGGACAACTGTGGCTGCCCCGTCCCTGGTCTCCCTGACACTTTCCCCAACCCCCTACATCCTCCACAAAGCAGCCTGAGGGACCTTAAAAATGCAGACTAGCTGCTCATTACACTAAAGTCCAAAATACTGAGCCTGCAAGGCTGCATTCCCATCCCTGTCCTTGGGAACCCGTTGACCTCTGCGTCAGGGATGGGCCAGGCTGGGCCAAGTTGCTCCTGCTGAGAGCTTTGTTCCCCATGCATTTCTGGAAGCACACAAACTCTCAAGACTGACTCAAGGAGAAGCAAAATCTGAATAGATCTGTAACAAGTGACTGAATCAGTAATCAGAAACCTCCTAGCTAATAATCTGAAGGCCAGTCACTTCACTAGTAAATTCTACCCAACAGTTAAACAATGTTTCATATCAGCCCTCAAAATATTCCAGAAAATAAAGCAGGACACTTCCTAACTCCTTCTATCAGGTCAGTATCCCCCTTCACCAAAGCCATATAAAGGTGTTACAAGAAAACTGCAAACAAATACCTCTATGAATATAGATGTAAAGATTCTCAACAAAATACTAGTGGACAGAATCCAGCCGTATATTGAAAGCAGTATACATCATGATCAAGAGAGATTTAGCCCAGGCATGGCAGGGTAGTTCATATGAAAATCAATCAATGTAATACACCAGTAGAATGAAGGGGAAAAACCATATGATCATCTCAATTGGCAATTGGTGCAGAAAAAGCATTTGATAAAATCCAACCTTCTTTTATAATAAAAGCACTCGATAAACAGACTAGAAGGAAAGGAAATTTCCAAAACATGATAAAAGACATATATAAAAACCCTACATCATACTCAGCTGGTGAAAGACTGAAAGCTTTCCCATTAAGATCAGGAACAAGACAAGAATGACTGCTTTTACCACTCTTATTCATCATTGAGGTTCTGGCCGGAGCAGTTAGTCAAGAAAAATAAAAGGCATCAAAGCTGGAAAGCAAGAAATAAAGCTATTTGCAGATGACATGATGGTATATTTAGAAAATGGTAAGGAAAAAAGACTACACAAAATGTATCAAAGTCCACGAGGTTGCAGGATACATATGCAAAAAATCAGTTGTATTTCTGTATACTGGCAATGGACAAAGTGAGAAGGAATTAAGAAAACAATTTTATTTACAATAACATCAGAAAGAATAAAATTCACCAAGGAGATGCAAGATTTGTACTCTGAAAACACTGTTGAGGGACTCCTTGGTGTTACAGTCGTTAATACTCTGCACTTCCACTGCAGGGGGCACAGGTTTGATCCCTGGTCAGAGAACTAAGATCCCACACGCTGTGAGAAGACAAACAATTACTGAAAGAAAATAATGGAATGAATTACCCGAATGAACAATTTGGCCAACTCACTGCAATAGACCACCTAAGCCTGGGAAGAAATACTGGGAAGTTTCTTTGAAAAATTGGGGTATTCTAAAATGACCCTGTGTGTGATAGACAGGGAGGCCTGGTGTGCTGCGATTCATGGGGTCGCAAAGAGTCAGACATGAATGACTGAGCAACTGAACTGAACTGAACTGACTAAGGAATTTAGAAAGCTACATGCATGGCCAGGACAGGATGCATGTTCGAAATAGACCTGAGAAGACCCTAAGCTTTCACCTCTGGCCAGTCACTGGGCTTGGTCGAAACAGGAAGTAAAGGTTAAGGCAGAGTTATAAGCTGCTCACTAAGTGTTTCAGGAGTGGACAGCAAAGAGTCAGCCTATAAAGACTGGAAGAGATGGGTTGTTTGTTTTTAGCTTCTGGTAAAAATTGTGAAAATACTAGTCAAATAGAGACTTCAAATGAACACACATGACAAGGATGACAGTCTTCACAAAAACAGTTGGGGAAAGTCATTAAACAGATGACTGCAGCCTTCAATAATCAAAAACAGTAAACTCTGGGAAAGGGAGAGAAGCTAATTTCCAGGGTTACCATATTATAATATTCAAATGCTCAGTTTTCAACAAAGAAAAATATACAAAGAAACAGGATTTTGACCACTCAAAGCAGGGGAAAATGGGCAGAAACCATCTCTGAGGAAGCCCAAACATTGGACTTTTTAGACAAAGGCTTTAAAGCAACTATAATATGCTCAAATTGCTACAGGAAAGCCTAGAGCCAGTTCTAGCCTTGGCTCTAGTGCTAGAGCTGGCAGCTCGCACTGACTCTCCATCTGTAACTGGTACTGGAACTGGAGCTACGGCTGAATGTCACCCTGCAGCTGGTGTGTGAGCTGGTCCAGGAACTGGCAGTGCCTCCGCACTGGCTCTGTCCTGTTGCTGGCCCTAGCTCTGGCTTTGGTGTTAGGGCGGTGGCTGGAGCTGGTCCTCGCTCTGGACTTGCCAAGGGCTCTGTTTTTGGCTCTAGCTCTGGAGCTTGTGCTGGAGCTAGTGCTGGTACATGCTACGTATCATTCCTCCTCCGCTGCTGACTTGACATTTCTGGATAAAGAGGACGGAAATGGAGAGGAGGGTGCCAGTGGTTGGAGGGGGTTGACAAGAGCCAAGTGAAACAAGTGCAAGAAAATAACCCAACGTCAGGATTGGGGGAAGCCTAATGGGGAGCCAGGTGGGGCAGGGACCACTTGCAGTGGGGAAGGATGCACAGAAGCCAAAGGCTTGAGAGGTGATCATGTTATTCACATTTTACAGCCCTTTACACTTTACACCTGATACAAAGAGCTGACTCATAGGAAAAGACCCTGATGCTGGTAATGATTGAGGGCAGGAAGAGAAGGGAGCGACAGAGGATGAGATGATTGGATAGCATCATCAACTCAATGGACTTGAGTTTGAACAAGCTCCGGGAGATAGTGAAGCACAAGGAAGCCTGGCATGCTATAGTCAATGGGGTTGCAAAGAGACATGACTGGGTGAACAACACTTTAAGAGAGAACCTTGTCATATTAACTTACAGAATACCCAGACAGATAATATACCATGGGTCAGCAAATGCAAGAACAGAAGATAAAATTTCAAGGAGAAATTGGCACATCCACAACCAGAGTGCAAGGTTTTTAACAGAAAAAAAAGGAGTAATATAAAATACTTGGAGACTTCTCTGGTGGTCCAGTGGCTAAGACTCTGCACTCTTCATTCCGGGGGCCCAGGTTAGATCCCTGGTCAGGGAATTAGATCCCGCATGCCACAACTAAAGGTCCCGCAGGCCACAACTAAGACCTACACAGCCAAATTTTAAAACATATATGTTTGAACAGCCCAGCTAATAGTTACATAGAACACTGCACTCCAAAATGAGAGAAAATATGTTTTACAATACATGGAATATTTACAAAAATTAGCCACATATTAGCCTAAACCAAGTATCAATATATAGCAAAAGATCAAGAGAATGAAAATAATGTTCTGATCACAATACAATAAAATTAGAAGTCAATAATTTCTTACCCCACAAAAATCCCATATACCTGGAACTTTTTAAACACTTAAAATGTTCAGGAGGGAAAAAATGAGATTTAGTAAATATGCAAAACTGAAAAGAAAAACTCTACATGTAAGCCTTTTGGAATATCACAGACTAAAATTAAGAAATGTATGACAAAGTATCTTAGGTATTAAGTATAGTTAAGTGTATTAAGTATAGTTTAAGTATTTAGTAAAGAAGAAAGAGTAAAATGAGATACATAACATTGTAAATAAAGTATACTTCAGTTTTAAAAAAGGAATGAGATGTGTTCAACTCAAGAAGTTAGCAGGAGGTGGGAAATTTTTTTTTATAACATCTAAAACAATAAACCTAACTCAAAAAGAAATAGAGTTTAATGCAAACCATCTCGTCATCTCTTTGGCTTTTCACAGCATCCCTGTTCAGTACTGTCATGGCTGCAGTTGTGTAGATGAATGTATACCAATGCTTGAGGAAGTTAGGAAAGTAGCAGAGTTTGGGGATTTCCCCAGTGGTCCAGCAGTTAAGACTCCAAACTTCCCATTCAGGGGCCTGGATTCCATCCCTGGCCAGGGAACTAGATCCTGCCTGCTGCAACTAAGATCTAGAGCAGCCAAATTAAAAAAAAAAAAGTAGAAAAGCTTCTGCCCCTAGAACCAGGCCTTCCAGATGCACTTTGATGTTTTTCCCATTTTCAGGTTGCACTCTTCTCATCAGGAATTGTCATGCCTGGGTGATGGGGCCTTATAGTCAGACAGGGATGATCTGAAGATGAAGGAGGGCTATCGACCTGGTCCTGAGTCCGTTCCCACCTTTCACACTGTCCACCACCCCCTTCCTGGGCTCTTGCTCTTCCTGAATGGAAACCATAGGTGGACGGGCTCCTGAACAAGTCATTGTGGAAGACAAAGATGTGGAGGAGGAGAGAGGGGCACTCTTGTTAAAAGGACACATTTGTCCCAGAAGACTCACCTGTATCTATTATTTTATCCATTTAGCTCAGCACTTGTCTTATTTTCTCATTCATAAAGGTATCCACTTACTTAGTTATTGTGTTGTCATCTCAACTGCAAAGCTTTGTTGGCTGAGCCTGGATTCAGCTTGTTTCCACTTCTGGGCAGATAAAAACTGCTCTGGTCCACCCTCACTGGGGCTGTGTGGAGGAAATAGAACTTTTTCTCTTTTTCCCTCTAATCTCTCATTGTCCGCCTGCAATGTGGGAGACCTAGGTTTGATCCCTGGGTCGGGAAGATCCCCTGGAGAAGGGAAAGGCTACCCACTCCAGTATTCTGGCCTAGAGAATTCCATTTGCCATGGAATATAGACCATGAGTCAGATGTCAAGAGTCGGACACAACTGAGCAACTTTCACTTTCAATTTTAGGGCACATAGGACAGTTTGTGCCATTCTCCAGTTCCATGGAAGTCTAGCTCATCCTCCCAACCCCACCCTGAGATGGACATGTTGGGAATGGAGCCGGGGAGATAACTCAGAGGGGGCCTTGGCTCAGAGAGAAGGAATCAGGGAGGGGAGGAGGCCATCTACCTCGGAGAAGAGCCAATACTGGGGGGATTGGTCTGAGTGAGAAATTCCGGAGCAGAGCATGCTGTGCCTGCTTGGCTGTGACTAAGCAGAGACTTCACTACATCCTCAGTCAAGGGCAGCCAGGCAAGGGGGGCGGGGCGGGGAGACCCAAGGGAGAAACAGGTGGCAAGGAAACATCAGGAGATGGAAGCTGTTGAGGCCAGTGCTCTTAACCCAGTCTCCCCAGTGGGTGATCTTGGGGAGCCTTGAACTGTGACACCCAGTGAGCAGAGCCCTGGGGTCAGAAACTGAGAAAGGAGCAGCCCTCACACTTGTTCTAACCCTCAGGAGCCTTCTGTTTTTTCCCTCTAGAAAACAAACTAGTTTTTGTTTTGTTTTGTTTTTTTAAGCTAATGACTTACACAGCATTTTTAGATGGACAGAAAAACAGTGAAGACATACAGAGAGTTCTCATAAAGCCCTCTCCCAGTTTTCCTAGGATGCTGAGCATCTAACATTAGTGTGATATGTTCGCTCCAATTGATGAACCAGCCACACCCATGGGAGAAGGCTTTGCAGCTTCAGTGGGGGCAGGGGGAAGACCCGAAGACTCCCAGGGAGCTGGGGGTGCAGGAAGCTGGATGGACTGGGTCCTGGAGATCCCCCAATCAAGGCCCCTTTCTTGCAGGATGCAGGACTGGGCCTCTGGAGCACCCCCCCACCCCGCGGCCCCCCTTGCCAGCCAGACTCTTCATCTATCCCTGCCAGCTCTGCTTCTCGGCTCCAGGTCGCGCTCATAAATCAGCCCATCCTGCCCTTTCATCACTCTGGCTCTTGGCGCAGGCAGCCGTCTATCTGCAGCCTGTCGGGCCTGCGGAGCCTGGAGTAAGATCTCTCTTTCAGGCTCCACAGGCGTCTCTGGGAGAAGGCCCCCCCATGCGGTGCAGTCAGTGCCTAGCACTGCTGCATTCTAGGTCCTGCCCCCTAGGGTCCTGGCTGTTCAGGCCAGTCCTTTCCCATCCTCCGTTTTCCCTTTGTGGCATCGTGGCTTCTCCCCCACCTTGATTGCCCAAAGCCCTATTTGCATGTCCTTCTGCAGAGAACTGTGTGCCTCTTCCCAGGGTAAATTCCCTGGGGTGGTCATCCAGGAGGATTTCTGGCAGCTCCCAAGCCTCTGAGGGTCCCACTTGTCCCTGAGATCTAACTGAGGGTGGGGCAGCTGCCAAGCCCCCTCCCTTGTCCCCGCCAGCTCCTGGAGCCTGCCGTGGTGCGACCATCCTTCTCTCCCGCTCATCTGACACCTCTGCCGTTGTCCTCGCTTCTAGCTTGAAACAGTATGAGACCAAAGGAGCCAATGTTTTTATTTTGATTTAGAGCACGGGAGGACCCCTCGCGAACAAGAACACTTTGACTGATCCCAGCCCTGTGGATGTGGTCTTTCACCGGTCCTCGTCTCCAGCCTCTGATGCCTTAGGATATTTGCAATTTTGTTTCTTAGTGTTAGTCACTCAGTCGTGTCCGACTCTTTGCGACCCCACGGACAGTAGCCCACCATAGTCCTCTGTCCTTCTCTAGGCAAGAATATTCGAATAGTCTTTCCTTTCTCCAGGGGATCTTTCCAACCCAGGGATCGAACCCTTGTCGCCTACATTGTAGGTGGATACTTTACCATCTGAGCCACCTTGCTGCTGCTGCTAAGTCACTTAAGTCATGTCCGACTCTGTGTGATCCCATAGACGGCAGCCCACCAGGCTCCCCCCTCCCTGGGATTCTCCAGGCAAGAACACTGGAGTGGGTTGCCATTTCCTTCTCCAAGGCATGAAAGTGAAAAGTGAAAGTGAAGCCGCTCAGTCATGTCCGACTCTTAGCGACCCCATGGACCGCAGCCTACCAGGCTCCTCCATCCCTGGGATTCTCCAGGCAAAAACACTGGAGTGGGTTGCCCTTTCCTTCTCCAAGGCATGAAAGTGAAAAGTGAAAGTGAAATCGCTCAGTCATGTCTGACTCTTCGCGACCCCATGGACCACAGCCTACCAGGCTCCTCCGTCCCTGGGATTTTCCAGGCAAGAGTACTGGAGTGGTGTGCCATTGCCTTCTCTGTGAGCCACCTTAGGCTCACTCAATTTTTGAATCTCACTTCCCTTCAAATAGGACTGCTGGAACCATCACCTTATCCCCAGTGCCTTGCCCCACTGCTTGGTACGCAGTTGATGCTCACTAAATGTCTTAATATGATTAAATAAATGGGTGAGTTAGAGGAGGAACATTCATTCTTTCATTCAACAATGGGTTAGGTGATCTTTGATGGGTTTGCAGATAAAAGATGAATAAGGGATGCCCAGTGGCTAAGACTCCACACTCCCAACACAGGGAGCCCCGGTTGGATCCCTGGTCATAGAATTATATCCCACGTGCCACAATTGAGACCCAGTACAGCCAAATAAATAAATATTTAAAAACAAACAATGAGTAAGATACCCTTGTTGTAGGGGAAAATACACTTATAAATAAGAAATTATAAAGTAATTAGCCTCCAACTAATAAAAATAAATGAAAAAAAAAAGAAATTAGAGCACAAGTGAGAAATCTCTGCCAGAGACTTGCCACCCAGGCTCAGAACAGATGTCAGAAGCTTCATCCTTTGACCGCATAGGAGGCTGGTCACCTTGAGAGACTCGAAGAGCCAGATACTTATTTTGCAGTCAGTGACACCGATTTTCAGATTATTTATTTTAAATTCCTGTGAAAATCAACCTATTATTGTATAAAAGGGCTTCCCTCATAGCTCAGTTGGTAAAGAATCCACCTGTAATGAGGGAGACCTGGGTTCGATTCTTGGGTTGGGAGGATCCCTGGAGAAGGAAAAGGCTATACCCACTCCGGTATTCTGGCCTAGAGAATTCCATGGACTATACAGTCCATGGGGTCACAAAGAGTCAGACATGACTGAGCGACTTTCATTTTTTCACTATTGTATGAAAAGTGTGTGTATAAAAAATTATGTGTAAAAAAAATTATCTTCTTAATTCTGGTACTTTGGGGCTTGTAATGGCTTAAACTTTTCATAATAAAAATTTTTTTGAAGCTTTAAAAAAAAATGACCGCACAGTGCATAGAATGCCATAATGGAGTACTGACTGTCTCATGTGCTGTGTGAGAGAACAGATGGTGGACTCTGCCTGGAGGGTCTGGAAAGATGAGAGGAAGGGCATCTGCAGGAATGTGGGGGGTGGGCATCTCGAGGGCAGGCTTACCTAGAGCCAGCGTAGCAGTGAGTCTCGCAGGGGAGTGCCCAAGGGAGCCCTGGGTGGGCAGCAATTGAAGCCAGGCTCTTGGCCATTCCCTTTAGCACATGGAAGTCAGAGATCTCCCACGTGTGCCCCCAAGGCTCCAGATCCAGGGTGGAGGGGTTGTACCTGGGCCCAGTCTGGGGTGCAGGGACCGCCCAGCCCCTGTCATTCTGGTTTGATGACGGGGTGCCAGGGAAACCTCTTCCAAGGGGGTAGTTGCACATCTGAGCCAATCTGAAACAATCCTATAAGATTTCTTGAGCCAAAAGCTCAACTCAGCCAAGTCTGCTCCCTCTGGTCTTTCATCCTGTAATTCCACCCAAAACATCATCCAGACATCTGGGCGCAGGTGTCCGCAAGCCATCTCAGGGCTCTCGCTCTCGCTGATTCCCTTGCTTACTCTGCTTCTCCTTTCCAGGGATTTAGCCTACATTTATCTGACTTTCAGTTGCAGATGCCTCTGCCTTTTCCATTCATTGTTGTTTTAGTGTTTGAGTTGGAGGTGAGATATTCGAGTGCATGTGTGTACACAAAAGGAAGGGTCTCAGTGTTCTTGGGGGCCAAGGTGAGCTGTGGGCTTCACCTGAGATGTGAAGGAACTAGGGTTGTTTGTAAGTAAGGACCAGAGGGAAAGGTCAATGTAATCTGCTGTGTGAGGAACAGGGAGGAGTCATAGGTAATAACTTAGGGGCTCACTGACTGGGATATTCCAGTTATGCCTGCAATAGAGGAGGGTCCCATATTGCAGTGACAAATGGTGATGTCAGCTTAGTGGAGAAAGGGAGGCCACCATGCCTCTACAGTAGTAGTAATTTAAAAATAGGAATCTAGTCATTTTGACCTAAACTTGACTTCACGGATTTATTGGGTAGGCCAAAATGTTTGGTCAGGGTTTGAAAGGCCATTTTGGCCAACCCAATACTTTTTATACCACCCATACATACACACAGACACTATGCTCATCCACAGAGGACTCCTGAATCCCTCCCCTGCTGTTTTTACATCCATTTTATTCTTACTTGTATCTTTACAGAAAATGGCACAGAAATCACAGGTTTTGAATACCTAGAAGTTATTACAGTTCCATATTTCAAACACTTCAATATCAAGTTTCTTTCTTCTGATTCTATGTACATTATTTACACACCAGGGGCTACCATCTAACTCTTCAAACCAAAGGGAGACAAAGACAGGAAGAACTGGGGGAAAGGTCCATGAACGGAATGAGTAAGAAATCAACTTCTGACATGGAATTAAAATCCCAACTCACTGTCTCAGGCCTCTCTCTTGCAAGGGATTCCCGGCAAAGGTGGGTGGGATGATAGAGAAAAATCCATGGGAGTGAGAGGGACATGTGTCTGGCCTGGGGGTGGAAATGACCGCTGCAAAGATGCCATCAGTATGGACGAGTCTTCCCATCAGCAGACAGGAAGAAACCCCGTCCCCTCTTCCAACACCATCACTGCCTGACTCGAGAACACGCTCCACACTCACACCTGGCCTGAAAGTGTGTGTGCCTATAGTTTGGGCTAACTAACACTGGCTCCTCCCCCACTCTCAGCCTTTTCTCATACCCTTCTTGTGATCAATTCATGATGCCTATTTATAGCCCCAGGCCCACTCCAGGAATGACCTGGATCAAGTTGAGTCAAGATCTGTGGTTTCCTGTGTGTTCATTTTACAGCTGAATTGGGGGGGGATCCAAGGCAGGGCACAAGCAAGCCAGTAATTTGCAAGAAGCTCTAAGGGAAGGATGCCTTGCACAGCAAGTCAGGGTCACAGGCAGGGTATCAGAGGTCAGGATGTTCCAGAACGCATACCCAAGGGTCCCAACTGGAGATTTGGCTTCCTAAAGGGGCAGTAGCTAGAGCACCTGTGAGAGGTGCCCCCTGGCTGCAGGGCCCACCCTGGCCTCACTGCAGGTACTGTACACCGCCCCCCTGCGACCCTGGCATCTTTGCCGGGAGGAACAGTGGGACAGGCTGGGTGTGGAAGGTGGGTTCCTGATGCTGACCATGAAGGGCATGACATGAAGGCTGGCCGAGGGGCCCAAGGCCAAGGCTTTCCAAGTATAATCTGGAATCTGGGCCCCAGTGGTGGGGGCGGGCAGAGGTTGTGCCCAGGGGGCTGGCAGGACAGGACACCCACACTGCCGAAGGGGGAGCAGAGTTCTGCTGGGGGGCTGGGGCGCTCAAAGACACCAGCGTGGAGAGCAGGTTCTTCATCCCTGGGGCCGCGGTGGCAGTGTTTGCAGCTGAGGGCTTCGGGTCTGGGCAGAACAGAATCCACCAGTGGGTATAGAGCTGGGAAGGAGGGCACTTTGGAGCAAGAGACCAGAGGGGGATTCAGACAGTGAGAGGAGGGGAAGAATTGAGTGAAAGTAGCCTGAGGGGGTGGGCTGGGGCAGCAGGAAGGCTTCTGAGGCAGGGCTGTGAGGATGAGGAAGGTGCTGGACAGGTCAGGACTAGGTAGGGATGTCTCAGCGTGGCCCAAAGCCTCAGCCACAACCGAGCTGTGCCTGGAGTCGCCCGGGGGGTGGTGCACGGAGGGCCTGCGGGGCCGGGGCCTCGCCTGGGAGAACACCTCCCAACACCACAGGCCGGCGAGGAGAGCAGAGTCCTGGGGCTCCGGCGTCTGCGCGCACCCTGGCCTAAGCCACGTCCTCGAGCCGCGCGGGGCTCAGCCTCTCCCCCGGCCTGTCTTCGTCCGCGGCCTCCTCTCGCTCGGGCTCCTCGGCGCTGCGGGCCAGGCCGTCGGGGCCGGACACAGTCCCCAGCACCTTGGTGCTGTGTTCCTGCGCTCTGGCTCGGAGCGCGGCGATGCTGTTCTCCCTCAGTTCCTCCTGGGACATGGCAGCGGGGGGCTCGGAACCCCGCTCCTCCGGCTCCGTCTTGTCGAGCTTGGGCAGCGCCTGGCGCTCCGCCTCGGGCTTCCTCCCTGACTCGGCTGCCGCCTCCAGCGACTTTTTGTGCATGCCTAAAAAGAATTGTTGGTATTCGGGTTTAGAAAAGCGCCTGGGAAAGCCATCTTGAACTGAAAAAACGGCAAAGATAGAGAGAGGCCAGAATTAAGGACAAGCAGAAAGCCTTACTACACACACCGCCGCCACGTGCGTCCCAGGGGCTGGGGGCGGAGGCTGCGGCGGACCACCAGGCCCGGCAGAGGGCTCCTCCGAGCCACGTCCCTGGGCTCCTGGACCCCCCTTCCCGGGGAGCCTGTCTGTCCCTTCACCAGCACAGCACTTGCTACCCCCGCCCTCTCTGGGATTCCAGATCTCTGAACCCCAAGACAAACTGGTTCAGGTCCCCTTGGCAGGTGGGGAGATTCAGGGGGGAAAAAGTCCTTTGGGCAAAGCCAGAATGGTGGTCAAAGGGACCTCGGGGCCCCCAAGCCCCCAAGAGGGGCTGCTTCATTCACCACAGCCCCAGCTCTGGCAAGGGAATAGGAGGATACATCCCCTGGGGCAATAGCCATCCCCTCCTCACAGAGCAACAGAACCCGCAGAATGAGAGTCCTAGGCACAGAGGGACAGACACCCAGCACTGGGTGCAGCCTGCCCTCGGAGCCCCCTCCAAGGGAGACTGGGAGGCCAGCTTCTGAGGGCCTCTCTCCCGCCAGGCTGTTGTGGCCACCAGGCATTCCTGCTTCAGGGCTTTGTCCCTCCTCGGGAGCCCGCTCCCCTCGCCCCAGGGGCAGGACCCCAGGGAGGGTGCGGGCTCTTACCCAGCAGCCACGGGGCACAGGAGTCCATGATGCCGTCCTTGGCGGACTTGAGGATGGACTCTGGCAGGGGAATGGAGTGGCGCACCATGGCCCCGTAGAGTCCATACTCGGCCATGACGCTGCTTCGGCCCCAGCACTTTTCCCGCTTCCTCCACTTGGCTCTGCGGTTCTGGAACCAGACCTGCTAGTGCAGAGGAACAGGTCAGGGACGTCCTCTATGAGGCAGAGGCCAGCACCCCCCAAGCCCCCCACCCCTGTGTCTGCCTGAAGTTAAGGGCCCCCACCTCTTTGACTGCCAGTGGCCCCATTCCCTGTTGACTTTGGTTTCTCCAAGTAAGGGCTCACCCACCCCTTGGTCCCCCGGGGTTCCTCTTGGTTCAGGGTGTCCAGAGTGAGATACAAGTTCTGCGAGAATATGATGGGCAAAATGATTTTTTTTTTTTTTCCAATCAAAGCAGTTTAGAGTGATGCAATAGGATGCCTCCCGGACTGGGTCTTGCAGCTGGGCAGTTCCCACGTGGTCCTCAGTTTGCTGTGGAGAAACCTGAGCCTCATAGCTCTCATACAAGGGTTCACACCTCCAGCATCCCTTTCTGACTTGCAGATGCAAAGAGTCCTTGTCAGGGGATGAACGAGCAGTGCCTTTGGTTCAGGCTCTTCCTCCACACCAGAACTCCAGAGGCCAGGGCAGTCCCAGGCAGGTGAGGTGAGTGTGGACTCAGGCAGCAGAAGGCATTTCATCCAGGTGTCAGGAAGCCTGAACCTACCCAGAGCCCGGGCAGGAGACACACCCAGGAGGCCTGAGTCAGCCTCCCTTCTCTGCCCTGTCCTGGGCAAGCCCTGCGGGGGCTCCGCTCACCCACTTTCCACAGGTTTGGACTTTAACCCTGAGTGATAGTTGGAGGAGCTGGGCAGCCATCCCTCAGACAGGGAGGGAAGATAAAATTCCTTGTGTGTGACGAGTAGAGCAAGCGAAGGTAGGGACCTAGGAGACCGGGGTGGGAGATAACCGCCAGGGGGCGCTTCTCTGGCCCCGGAGTAGACTGCTGCAGGGTGGGGATGAGCAGGGGGTTCGCTGGATCTAGCCCCAACGCCCCAGCCGGGTGTTTGGAGACGATCCCAAGGTCCCGGCCATGCTTGGAGGAGGAGGGAATGTCTTGGTCCCCCCAAGCAGCTTTCCTGACGTTTCTGGCAGCTGACAGGAGCCAGGGCCAGGGCCAGCTGCAGTGTCCCTCAAGCTGGTGAGCAGCCCGTGGGAGACGGGTGGACGCAGGAAGCACCTGCGGTCCCGGTGGCCCCCTCGTGTTCCCCTCACAGCCGCTCCACAGGCCCTGACCCTTGGCGGGGAGGAGTTTGGTGAGACGCCCAAACACCCCAGAAGTAGAGGGTGGGGTGGGGGGAGGGGAGGGCAGAGGCGGGTTCGGAAAAATCTATTAGTTTCCTGGGCGCTTTCCATTCCCTCGCCTGGACCAGGTCCCCGCCCCTCCCTCTGGGCCCCCGCCCCCGCCCCCCGCCCCCCGGGCGGCGGAGGTTTCAGCTTTTGATGAAAAATTGCTCCAGCTCTATTCAGGAGGCGGCAAAAGAAGAGTCACCCCCAGGGGCAGCCCTGGGCTGATTGAAAAATAAGTTAATTTCTGTTTGAATCGATGGGCCTCAGGCACTGAAATATCACGGGAAATTAAAGCGGCTGCTCTCCCGGGATCCGCGGCATTGACCCGCACTAATTAATGCTGGGGAGCAGCGCTAACCGCGCCGCGAGCCGCTCCCCCTCCCCGGGGGACCCCAAACACTCCTCATTTAACTAATTAGACGGGGAAAATTGGGTGTTAATTTGTTTAGGATTTTCCCCCCCACCCTCCCTCCCGGCAGCTCCCTTCCCGGCCCCCTCTCCACGCGCGGGGGCGCGGGAAATGAATGCGGGGCTCGCCGGCAGATGGCTGCCCCGGTCACTCTGCAATCTTCTCCGACTTGATTGCTTGATTAGGTCGTTAGCACATTAAAAAAAAAATTGCTTGCCGTCTGGCGCTGGCGTGATGAGTGGGACGCGCGGCAGCGCCTGGGTAATTTATCTTTTTATACGGCGAAGAATTTGATTTCAATCTGCAGATATATGGGGCGCCTTTGACACCTGTTTAACATCGCGCCGCTGACAGCTTAACCCTTTGCTGCCTCGGCCGCGGGCGTGGGGAGTGGGGGCGGGGACGCGGAATTCGTGCGCCCCTGCGGTTCCCGCCGCCGCCAGGTGGCGGAGTGAGCGCCCGGGCAGCTCCTGGAGGCCCCAGGTCTGCGGCGGAACTTGGCCGGCCGCATCCAGCAAAGGCGGCGCCCCGGCCGCCCCGCCGCGCCGCGCACCCGAGAGGCCGGCCCTCAAAGAGCCCCGCGGTCACCGGCGCTTTGCGGAAAGACCGCATGATCCGTGCACACCTTTACGTTGACCCTGATTGTGTGTACCCTGTTTGGGCATTTCCTCATTTGTAAATAACTAGGAACTTCTGACAATGGGAGAGATGCGGCCTCAGACTGCCCCCCGGCCCCTCCAACCCCACGGTGACCCGCAGCCTCGCCTGTTAGAAAACGACCACTCCTCAGTCCCCCCCCACCCCGCCCCCGTGGCGTCGCCCCCTGTGAGCCGCACGTTTGCCACCACTGGGTTTGGCACCTCCTGGAAAGCTGTGGAACCGATGCAAGGCCTCCCCCCAACCCTCTACCCCTGGTCTGGACCCAGACCGCACTGAGAACCTGGCCAAGGAATGGGTTTATGTGACCGGAAGGCTATTAGATGGCTGCGCTCTGGACACTAAGTTCAGAGCGCAGAGCCGTGTGCAGTGAAGTTCGGAGGAGCTCGGCCCTCCGCCTGGCCTGGCTCTGCGTGTATACATCTCTCCCCAGCAGTCCTGCCTGTCTGTCCAGCAGGCCCCCTGCAACACCCAAGGCCTGCATTTTGTCTGAGACCTCTGTCCTCTGTCCTGTTCTCTCTTCCCCCTTAGCGCTGGGTCGTCCTCTACAAGTACTCACGAATCTTAAGCTACGTTTTCGCACAGGGGAAGCATCTAAAAGGGCTAAGCCACAGAAAGGTGTAAGCGGCTTCTGGTTTCATCCACCTGACAGAGAAGACGGCAAAGAGTGAACCCCTTGGTGATGGAATTCCAATGTGGAATTCCAAGTCTGACCACAGAGGGTTGAGAAAGCTATCTTGATGAATCTTAAGTAAGCCCTCTGCCTCCTGGGCAGGAGATGACCTTCCTGCTTGAATACAGTGCATTACAGAACAATAAGGCTGCTGGAAAACCCACGGGAGGCCAGACTCCAGAATGTTTTGAATTTTAGAAAAAATATGTGGTGCATATACTACATGTTATGTAACATTCTGTAGCAGCAGCACCTCCCCATAGTCAAATCCATCAGTTCTGATTTCTGCAGCAAAACATACATATATGCATGAGGGACAAATAAAGAGCATGAAGTCCCATCTGGTTTTTGTCAAGAATGAGTTTTGATGACA